CACGGTGGTGTAGCGGTTAGAACGCTGGCCTTGTAATTCTGATGTCTCGGGTTCGATTCCCGGCGGTGCCCGAATTTCTAACTTGTGTTGGGCAAGGCCGTGGTCTAGGCACCACGGAGTTTTCCTCCGGGGGCTTCCCCGGTTACTCCGTGGCATCCGAGCAATTACTCCATTCACACACAGAAGAAGGCAATGGCAAACCCCTTCTGGATCATCTGCCAAGAACGTATATGAACAGGTCCCAGTCCGAGAAAAGGATGGAAGGATCCTGTTCATATGGACCTGTCGTCAGACAGAACACTAAATAATAATAATAATAATAATAATAATAATAGGACATTGTCCCCTGGTTGTATATTGATCAGCCTTAAGGCCTTCCATGCTATTCACGATATAACTCGCTGCAGTAGCAGAGCCCGTCCGCTGATACCAGATGCCGCCAATGCATATCCGTCCACCTCCTGCTTCACCAATATTAATCTCGAGGTTTTCCTCCGTCCTTCTCTGTGGTGGATCCGGGAATTTGAAGCTCCTTCATCCGATGCTCCACGCACTCCGCGCGCCCTCGTTCCTAGCAACACTGCCACGTCCTGAACGTACGACGCGGGCTGAAAGCCTCTGATAAATCACGAAGTTCCTCGTCACACAAAAGCTAGTCTCAAGACAGCGAAAGAAACTTCCCCGGACAGTATTGCCATTACGTTACCATGGAAACAGAGAAAAGTTCCACCTTTAAACCACACTGCAATTGAGAGAACATCAAGTAACTTTTGCAGAGACTTCAGTCCACCGATAGTGTCCAATTCTTAGCAAGTGGGGCGCGTGTTCCTAAACGATATATATCGTACGTAGCACGCTAAAGGTTAAAGATTGTGGCGCACAACTTTGATTCCCGTGCTATAGCATCAACCACAACGCGAAGTAATTTCTCGGTCAATAAGAATTTTTCAGTTACATTTGAAGGATTGAAGTGGGTTTATTTCTTGGTTACGGGTGTCACTGGCTTCGGACACTCTGCTAAATGGGCCCGTTGGGTGCGGTTCGCCTTTCAGGGGTTCAAGAAGGAAGTTCAACTGCCCCAAGCTAAATCTGCAAAGAGACGCATCACGTGACCAAGAAGACAGATTTCATGGACAATGGTCAATTCTGGGGACAGGCTGTAGTTTTACGCACGGATTTATGAGTAAAGAACAGCAAAGCTCGGTCGGGAGCAGCGGGTCCCTCTCGGTGGTTAAAGTGGAATCACTTCCCCCCCTCCCCCCCGCTTAACTGAAATCGTGATAACCAATTTTTAGAACAAGTTGCAGTCGTGGTTTCCAGTGAAGTTATTAGTTACGTCAAATTGGCCCATGCCGATTAGAATTTATTTGTTAATAATTGTCTTCTTTGATAACGTCATATTAATACTTTTATATTTCGGGCTAATTTCACACTTCACATTTCATCTCCAGCATTTATGCAGAATCCATTCCCTTTGTGCTCCTGACGTGGTGCATTTCTCTACTGCCAAACATCCCACAACAGGTGTTCCTTCTTCATGAAGACTACAATCAGTAACCTACTAACGCCGATGTACGCTATAAACATTTGCTCAGTTATAATCATTCACTTAAAAAGGAACAACAATGCCATTAGAAGGTTACAAACAACGACAAGTCGAAATCTGACTGAAGAAGGAACGGAATTCAAGTATTCATGGGAATTTTATACTTCAGAAAGGGCGTGGACGACATATAAGCTTCAAGCATCCGGAATTAAAGGTTCACAAGCCTGAAATACGACTGGTTGAACAAGAATGAGAAAGAATTACTGTTGATCAATTCACTCACCATAAATCTCGGCGGCTACTGAAGTTAATCCCGCTCTGCACTGCACATTGTTGAGAAATACTGAGGCAATTTGCGTGCGGGTTAACTTCTAATCACTCAATTAAAAAGTCACATTAGCACTAATAATGCAACGCCTATTCACAGACGCCACATTGAACAAAACACTGCTAGCCGCATACGACAACGCACTCTGCCGGTCTCTCCCAAGACACGAACAAGTGAAGTGCGGATCTCGCACGTGGAACCAAGAGGCTCGCTCGTCAGGCGTTCTCCCACTACTGACGCGATCGACTCTGGATTCAGTGGCCCTGTGGACCTGCGCACTGACGATCGATGTTGCCAAGCAAGCAGCTGGCATTAAAACTTTACCTTTCATACATTCACTTAACAACACTGGAATAAACTGATATAATTACTGGTAACAATCTCATTCAAGAATTGACACGAAGAACAGTGACGTATGTAAAATTACGATAAAATTTGAAACCCTCTGTTCTCTACCGAAATATGTTTGTACGCGAAACGTGGCGCTTCGTACATATTGGGCTCCTTCACCACAACTTCACTGATTCACTTCCTGTGGACAGAGACTGTATCTACTGGCCCCAGAACACTCCTGCTCGCGACGTGTTCTACAAACGCGTGTCAGTCTCTAATGTGCCTCATGTTATGAACTCTTCCTTACTACACGAAGACGAGTTGTGGACAGAGAAGTTTCTTGTCTGCCGTAAATCGACACCCGATCGTCCACCCGTAGACATTTTCTCTACTAATTGTGTTAACTGAGATGATAGAAATGGTATGACACTTGAGATATACTACATACGACGCAGAGGCGTTCGTACATTACGATATTAAAAGCAAATTGTGTTTAAAGCGCCGGTTTACGTTTAAACTCCGTTCATAAGCGAAACACATTTTCAATTATAGAGATTCGTTTCTCCCAGTGGGAATTTGACTGCATCAACTACCAGAGTTTGACTATTCGTACCCCAGAGCTTTGCGACCTAGAAACAGAGAATATGTGCGTAGTTTTTTCCCCACGGTACAAACAGAGGAGTCTCGAAACATTTGTTCCGCAGGTCTTGCTTTCGAAACTCGTCATTACTGACAGCGATTTTCGTGTTTTTACTCAGAACACCAAGTTGAATGCATCCCATCAATTCATTGACAATTTCAGGTGGACCTCTTCAAGAAGCTTTCGAAACTGATATATGAGACTGCTAATTTATAAACATGTATTCTGTTGTTGACTTTACAATGCGATGGACTGTGACATTTAAAGAGAACCGCCTGAAGATGACCAGGTAAGGTCGAAACATGTGGTGGATTCTTAATAAACATTATTTTTCAGACAGTCAACCTAATTACGTATCTTATAGATCGTCGAAAATCCAGAAACTGCGGTGACCATGAAATTGAAAAATAATTCCGCTCTTTATGAAGTGGGAGTTTCAAGTTCTACCTACAGCCACTTCTAGCAGACCCGAGAGGTCGACTTTACTGGCTAGGAATTTGGAGGAATCCAACCAATATGATAACTAATATTCCGACACGTTCTTGTTTCAGATGATCTGTTAATGATGACACAAATGTAGACGTCTTTCAAGTTGCGAAATTATTCTCGATGGCGTGAGATTACATAACTTAGCTTCCCGAAGTGGTTAGCACTCCTGCTTCGTTCATTGGTGATCTCGGATTTAAATATCGGCCCGGAGACGAGGTATCCTGACTGGGTTTTTGTGGTTTTCCTCAGTCTCTCCAAGAAAATGCCGGAACGTCCACAATATTAATAACCAAATGATGTTAAAAGTTACGTAAAATTTATTGTACTCGTGATTTTATCACTGAAATTTTGCGTACACGAAATTAAATACCCGACATCAGGTTCTTGTAGTTGCCACAGACCTGGAAATATTCTAAGACATTTCTTGTTACTCAAAGTTGTAACTGTGACACTTTTTCAAATTTACTAAAACAAAAGACACAGGAAACAAATAATTTTAGGAGCTATTTGGCAAGCTACGCTACAGAAACGCTTCTTATTCCGAGCGAATAAAGCAGTTTTCATGTCGAATTAAATGACATTAACAAAAAATGTTTCAAACACAAGATACGCTTTATTATTTTTTTGTTCAAATTTGCAATTAAAACACGTAGCAAAGTGCTTAAAAATTCCCTATAATTTTATCACAGTTAAGCTTAATTTTCAGAGTTATCTTCAATGGGACACATCAGATATTCAAATTAAACAAACTTTTGTTTTGAATCGTTTAATTCATTGGCAAATTACATTTATTGACTACAGGGTAGTGGTATGAGAAGTAAGATACATATGGCTTTGAAATTATTTGAATACCTCTTGCAAATGTCAAATCTATACAAGTTTTCCCTTGCGTGGTTGGTTTGTCCAAATCATTCACTAGTTCAAGTTTAAAGAATTTCTGAAGGTACGCACGTAAGAGTTCTAAATTTTCGTCACTAGTGTTGAAATCGCCCATCAGTACGAGCGGTCATTATAAGAGAGTCCAGGGTGTATATAGATGCTTGCCAAAATTATTTTATGATTGGGTACAGTTATCTTTGTTATGGCAATTTCTCCAATATGCCTCGAAATGTGGCAAGAGTTTGATTTCAACTGGGATACACGACGATTCTAAGTTGACTCTGGAGATGTACACTGCTACGCCACCACCTCGCCCCTCGTTTCTTTCACATTTGGATACAATGCGAGAGAAGTCTGCCATGTCGATAGAGTCTGGGTCTCAGTGAGAACGATAATGTCCGCCTTCGGTATTAACTCGACTGTCTGTAGGTCCCCCAGACTCTGCACGTTCAGATTGACTATGAGAATGTCGACATAGGGCGTGGAGGATCTCCCGGGAGGCTGTGCTGCCATTCGCAACATTCTTGATCGCATGTAAGGGAGTCGCGGTGAAATCAAGCACTCAGTCAAGGGATCGAGTTTGGGCAGAGGTGGGTCTGGGATCGGCGGATATACTAAACCGTTACTCCGACTCAACGCTGGAATCCGCGCCTTACAACTGTTACACAGCTTGAAACCACTCACGTCCTCCGTAGGGAACTCTTCTCGCAGTACGCCAGTGATACTCCTATTGGTAGGCTTCAAATCATTTTTGAACCACAGGCAGTCGCAAATGTCAAATTTATGGCCAAAGTCGTCGTCTAAGAATGTTTTTTTAAAGTAGTTGTCGGCCCCGGTACAAGTCCAATTTTGGGCCCCAAGTGGGTCCGATGGGTCCGGGCCCGACATTTTCCGTGTCATTCTCTTTGGAATTTTGTGCTCTACGCATTCGTGCCCGATTTTTGTAATT